TAAGAAGAGCCAGTTGTTTCTTAGGCCTGGTGTGTTCTCACAGCTGTTATGTAAGTCCATCCGTAGGCACACACACACACACACACACGCACGCACGCACCCCGTTTCATTAGCAGCCTTGGTGCCTCAAGCCACCCATAGCAGCCCATGCACCGCCAGAGGTCCCTTCGGTGTGTGAAAGCAGTGTCTGTTTGGGGGTGGGAGCTTCCACGGCACAACCGGGGATTCCAACCCGGGTCTCCCAGAGACTAGTCTGGCCCTCTTAACCATGACGCCACAGTGGGCCCCCCCTCCTCCTCCTCCTCTGTTCTGTGACACAGGTGCCGCGTACCCCTCCCATCTCTGGGCCCTCCCACCGGCACTTCCTTGTTCTTTCCTGCCAGGGTGTGTACATGGGGGTTAGGAAAGGGTGGCAATGAGCTGCTCGTGCATCTCTGTGCTGAGAGCAGACGAAAGAGGGAAACTTTCCTGCCTCCCCGACCAGGAGAGGGTAGGGATGCCTTCTTGGCAGGGTTGAACACAGGGGGACAGGCAGCCAGGCTTGGAGCACATCTCTTTACTCAGGGTGGAGTGGTAGTTGACCGCGCACTGTCCTCATGCCACTAGAAGGTATACTGGCCTGTGATGTGCATGAATCCGTCCTGCCAAGGACATTTCATGACTTCGGTGGCCATGGGGGGGGGGAGCACAAAGGAAAACCGGGGGGGGGGCAAATTCAGCTTGAGGCTCTTCGATGCGGTGAGTCTGGCCAGATTCCTCTCTGCCTTTTAAAGTGTCCAAAGACACAAGGAAACTTTCCCCCCCCTTGCCAGTGTTGTGTAATTAATTGACCTTACGGAGGTTTGCTGGGGGTGACCTTGGACCAGTCTCTCAGCCCAGCCTACCTCGCAGGGTTGTTGTGAGGATAAACTGGAGGAGCGGGAAATGATGGAAGCTGTTTTGGGGTCCCTGTTGGGGAGAAAGGTGAGGTGTAAATGTGAACAAATTTCTCTTTCCCCTGCTCAGTGCCAGGTTTAAAAACCACCCCAACCACGTTTTTTAAAATGAAAGCCATTCTGTGTCTGGACAAGCCCTTCCCTTTAATGAGTCTGACTCTGCCCAGTCATCTGGAGGGGTTCGGCCTGGGCACAGTCTGGACCACCCTCCTCAGATTTGGGCCTGGCGACCAGGGGGCATCTACGACATCAGAGGGAAAGCCTGAGATGGAATCCTGGCTTCTGTGACAGGGTTCACCACACCATGTGAAGTCAGCAAGGTTAAAACAGCTTGTGATGGAACTGGCATGCGAATTATGCCATACTTGCAAAACCATAAGATGGTCTTTTGTGTGATGTCAAAAGTGTGCGTGAGCCCCCCCCCCCCACACACACACTTGTGAATGTTGTAGATTGTGCCATCTATGAATGCAGCATAGTCCATGGCTCCTTGGTAGCCGTGGCTCCTTGGTATGTTCCCATGAGAGGCGGAGTAGGCATCTTTCCTCTCAGGGGAATTGTCTCTCCCACCCTCCTAGGACTGTTGGATCGGGATAGTTTCCTGGGACCCCCGGGGGGGGGTTAGGGTGTGTGTGTGTGTATGTTGAATAGCTGGCACTTAACAGCACAGTGCCACATCTCCTTCGTAATGCATGTTGTTGTTGTTCAGTTGCACAGTCGAGTCCGACTCTTCGCGACTTCGTAATGCATGACAGACACATTAATGCACATAAAAACGACAGTTCTTGCTTGCCCACTCTGAAAGATACCCTGAGCCAATCTTCACTGTCTGTTGCATCGTTATTAGTCATTTGATATTGTTGGTTCCGTGTTTGAATTACCCAGGGTCCTTTGCACAAGTTGTTCTCCTTCTCAGCCACCCTGCAGATGGGCCAGGAGTGCTGGGAGAACATGGCCCCTCTTTCCCTCCCACATTTGTGGCTGAGGTGAGAGTTGCGTGGAGGGCTCTCTCTGCCCAGGGCATCGCCGCTGCCGTTGTTCTCATTCTGTGTAATATATACCTGCGCAGTGAGACTGTGGGATTGGGGCATGCCAGTTTGCTCAGGCTGCTGAATGCGAGGGGTTGTACATGGTTGAAGAGGGCCACGGTGAGCCCAAATGTCTGGGCAACGACAGGCAAGGCAGTGGCGACTTTTAACGATATTCTCAGCCTCTGGGGGTGGCGAAATGTGAAGACGTTCCGGTGACCCGTGATTGGCCGTGTGGCTCTTTCCCAGTCATCTGCCGTGACCCCTCTCTGTGGTTGTGGACGGTCTCTGAAAGAAGTGAATTCTTAGGCTGGCTGGAAGGAGCCGGTCCAGTAGCCTCTAGCTCACCCCCTGCCTTTATGGCGCTCCTGGACTGATGCCGGCTGCACCGGTTGCAGAGGCCCTTCTTGGATTAGTGTGACCACTCAGAGGTAGATGTCCGTGCAGGTGGCTTGCCTTGACTGAGTGACTGTGGAGTTTGGCCCCCTTCCCACGGGCAGGCAGTGCTGCCCTGTGGGTTTCCCGGGGCCCTTTTGTTGTTCTTAAGATGACTGGAGAAAAGAACAATAGAGTCCAGCAGCTACACTAAGCTCCTTAGGCGGGGGGGGGGGGGGGCGGCTCGTGCCCAAGAAGTCGAGAGTAATCGGATTATTGCCTGGCTTTCTCTGGGTGCTCTGCGGCGTCTGTGGCAGCCACGCTTACAACGTGTCGCTGCACAGAAGTGGCTCTTTTCTTCTTTTGGATGGGTTCTCCCCCCCCCCCCATAAGTGGGGTTAAAAGGGAGGGGGCATGCTCCCTGGCTAGCAGCACCATGGGAGGCTGAGTGTCCCTGTTCTAAGGCCACGGAGGTCCGCGCCGTGGTGCAGACTAGGGTCTGAGGTTCGAGTCTCCACTCCTCCGTGGGAGCTCGCTAGATGAACGGGGGCCGGTCACACACCCTCCCAGGCGGCAGGCAGACCTCCTCACAGGATCGTTGTGAGGATAAAAAGGAGGCGAGGGGAGTGCCAGCAGCAGCCGTTCTGGGCCTCTGCTGGGGGTCTGAGGAATGTAGGCGGAAGGACGCGGGCGGCGCCTTCAGGCTGGGCCAGTTGCCAGTTCCAGGGCGGGGGATTCCGGGACCTTTGGGGGTGGGTGGAGCCTGGGGGGAGGTCTGCGGCCACCGCGTCCCTCCTCCACGGCAGCCATTTTCTCCGGGGGGGGGGGCTTGGCGCTGGCTGGCTGG